CAAAGACATATTTTGTTATCTAGCACTGATATTAAAGAAAGAAAAGTGTAATGGTTCAAATATGCAATTTATCTTTATACACTTTTCACTCAGAAATAGCTAGTAAATCTCACAATGAATTACAAAGTAACACAAAGATGACATTTTGAAGTAGAGTATTTTCTAGTAGAATGATGCTGTAATGGTTTTTAGTCTGGGATTATTTAGAGCTCTTACATGTTTTCTGGGTGAACTCTTTCTTGTTAATGGTCGTATTGAATCTCTGTGTCTCAGTTTATTCCCGCGCTGAAGCCTTGTGTAAAGAGTACCGTCAGATGAAGGGTCCCGGAAGCACGGCCAAACCCTCGGAACAGCTCTTCTTTAAGAAACTGGGCACGTTCATCAAAAACACCCTGGAGAAATGCCAGAGAGAGAACAGCTTCATGTGAGTCAAACATGGGTCCGGATGAAGACGTTTATTGATCAAACCATTCCTGGAGAACTTGTGTTTTGATGGCTGCATTTCTGTGTCAGTTACTTTCATAAGGTTCCTGCTGAAGCTCCAGCGCTGGAACTGAAGGCCAGTTATGGTTTGGCTGAACCGAGTTCATTCGAGCTCCCGCCTCTCAGCGCTCAGTGCACACCTGAAGTCTACACCAGCTTTGACCTGACCAAAGGACCCAAAGAAGACAAGGTGATGAGGAGAGCTTTCCTTTCCCACAAAAAAAAAAATATATATATATATATACACACACACACACACACTACTGGTCAAAAGTTTGGGATCCGATATGAATTACTAAAATAAGAGGGATCATACATGCACTTGATTTCTGTGTCAACAATTAGATGATCAGCGACTGTTTTTATGTTTTGTTTATGTTATTCACGAGTCCCTTATTGGTCCTGAACAGTTAAACTGCTCGCTGTTCTTCAGAAAAATCAACCAGGTCCTGCAAATTCTATGGTTTTCTGGCATCTCTTGCATATTTGATATATTTTGATTTTGAGATCCATCTTTTCCGACTGAGGGACTCATATGCAACTGTTACAAAAGGTTCAAACCTTGACTGATGCTCCAGAAGGAAACACGATGCCTTTAGAGCAGGGGGTAAAAACTTTTTGAATTTGAAGGTCAGGGTAAATTGTACTTGTTTTGTCGTCTGGGAAACCTATAAGTATCTTCTGAAGGGCAGTACTAAATGGAACTAACTTCAGCCTGGTCAAAAGTTTTCACCCCCCCTGCTCTTAATGCATTGTGTTTCTAAAACGGTGAAATAAAAATCCATCGTCATTCAGCGTAACAGATATATTTATGTAAAAATTAAACAACATACTTATTCTGCCCTGTACTATATATATAAATGAAAAAATTATCATACAAAATTGTATTATATTTTAAAGCTCTTGCTGACAAATGGGTCCAGTTTAGAATGCGTTTAGATTCAAGTGTTTAGAATGATTTAAAATGACAATTAATTAGTATTTGGGAAGCTGCAATGATTGAATGCTTTGAATGCATGATTGATTGAATTGAATTCAATGCTAATGATTCTGCTTGTAAATATGCTTGACAAGACTTTTGGGTATTTAAACTATTGTTACACTGAATGACATTTTAGTAGGTGTCTTCTGTAAATCATGCTCATAAAAAAGTAAAATTAAACAAGACACATTCTAATGCTTGAAAACCTTTCTGTCTTTGACCTAAATATTTTCATAATTAATAGTGTGTTAAATATAAATGCTATAAATTTATATGCAAATAAATTTTGGTTCTAAATTGTATTTTTACATTAGACAGCATTCTGTATCTGCTCTTAGTGGACGCCTCTTTACTGACTGTCATGATGTCTCATCAGCAAAAGAAACCATTTTTACATCAAACTATATATCGACTTTAGCAATTAAAATATTGCCATTTTTTTAATGATTTTTTCCCCCCTCCAGGCAAAAGCGAAGCACGATGAGGAGATAAAGCCGGTGAAGGAGCCGGATCTGAAGCCGCAGAAGGACACGGGCTGCGTCGTCTCTTAACAGTCCAGGAGATCTGGAGGAGTCTGCAGTCTTCTCTCGTCTAATTCTCTCCCCTGCTCATATATACTAATGGTGATATAACAGTGGCGTCTGTCTCGTGCTCGGATTCTGTTTAAGGTGTTTCATCTACAAATGACAGATTGCGTGACTAAAATCTGATGAACAGTTAATCCTAATAACCCAGACTGAATCTTAATTATATGACCATTTGATTGCCCTTGATTATCTCTCTGTAGCAGAATATAGATGATCCTAGTGAGATTTTTAAGGTTTATTGGGTCAATTGATAAAAAAAAAAAAATGTGTAGAAATGAACTCTATTAAAATTATCCACTGATTAATGCAAATGTTAAAAAGCATTTAAACTAAACTATAGTTTTTTTTAACTATAAAAAAATATCAGATTTCACCCCAACATCTAAAGAAAAAAGATTGGGAAAAAACATTTTAAAACCATTAAGATTTATTGCATTATAACATTATTTTCATGACAATTAAGCACATTTTCAAAGCACACACACACACACACATATATATATATATATATATATATATATATATATAT